AAAAAGACATGGTATTTTTCATGGGATGAAAAAAGCAGAAAACTAGGACTGTTGGGATAACCCTGGAGGGAGCTTTCTAGGAAGGTGTGTGTGGAGGGTTCTTTTTTCCTTCCCTTTTTTTTTTTTTTTTTTTTTTGGTGCTGAGAATCAAACCTAGGGTGTCAGAATGCATGCGCTGTCACTGAGCTGTACCCCCAGCCCCACGTTCTTTTAACAGTTAACAAAATGACAGTAATGTCCAGGCTTTCTGTTTCTGTATAGAACATATAGAGATAATAAGAATGGGCCTTCCCCTCAAAGAGTTCTGTCTCTTGGARTAGTAAAGCACATCCAGAAACATAGGAATTTGTATGATCAGTGTAATTTTAAAGTGTGTTCAAGATGTAGAAGTAGTAATCATCAACTCTCCTCCCTTTATTAGCTTTATGAAACATAAATTTTTCGCCACCGTTAATGTTATGGATTCAAGGAGGAAGAAGAGAAATGTATGTACACAGAATAATTTGTACAGCTGAAGGGTGTTTGGGATGTAAGGACAACTACAAGAACTATCTGCCCTAAGCTCCCTTTGCAGTACCCCTTACAAGTCCTTCTTTATTGCTTTACTTGAGCATCTACAAGATAAACCTTTATGTCACCCAGACAGCCAAATACCTAAGTGTAGTGACATGGGCTAGTGTCTGACCTACAGCAGTAGAAAGGTATTCAGGGTCCAGAAAAAGAAAGAAAAATCTCCTAAAATGCAAAGTATACTCTACCAGGAACCCTGTCTTATCTATCTTCCTATCTGGGTAGTACATAGTAGATACTCAATGTTTCTTGGATTAAATAAGTAAGTTTTAAAAATTTAGGGCCTAGACTGAGTCCTTCTTTCTCTGCCTTCAAACTCTCTGGTGTACTTGTGTATAAAATGTTACTCTGCATTTTGGGAGGGGATTAGAAAAACCAAAAAGTTGACTCACAAACTTATAGGAGAAGAGACTATAAATTACTTGRCATCACAGAAAGTGGCTTGTGTTGGACAGTATAATGCCTGCTGTCTTTCTATGCAAGAAGGCCATGGTGGCTTGTAGGGCAGATCTAGGTTGATTGGGCTCAGAATAAGCTTCATCCTCAGTAAACAGAAGATACTTTTCTACTGATAAACTGTTACATTAAATATATGACTTTAGGTTTTGATCTGAACTTTGTATTTGTATTTCTTGCTGTGGTTTGTTGCTTTTTCTTTCTTTTTTACTTTTTTTTTTTTTGGAGCATCTACTCTGAAAGAAGGTGTCCTGTGCATTGTAGTAGAATGTTGAACCAAGTGCAGTGGAATCCAAATGTCTTTTTTTTTTTTTTTCCTGCTAGGAGAGATAAAGCAAGAAAGCTTTAAAGAAGAGATGATGTTTGTTTGGTCTCAGTTTTGAATGATAGGAGTTAAATGGAGTTAAGAATTAGAATAGATGACACTGGAGTTGGGGAGAATAAGATCCAAAGCCAGAAGGTATTCAAGACTTGTGTCCTGAAGGTCTCTGCAGGTGGCTGTGCCATGCTATGCTAAAGAGCTTAGACATTAGATAATCAGAAGTTTTCAAACCACATGCAGAAAACTAGGACTGTTGGGATAATGATTGATAGGATACCATACCCTGTACTCTGTCTTTAATCCTAGCATCTCCATGCATAAACAAACACAAAATAAAACATGCTTTTAAAAGTACTGTTATTGGGTATTAAAAGGTTTTATGTTAGAAGATTTATACTTTTTGAATGATAAAATCYTAAAACCTCAACTCTTTGGCAGGGGGATATCGTGTTTTTTTCATGGTGTTACYTGGTTTAATTTGTTTTTTACTAATCATGTCATGCCTTCTAACAATTTATTAGTTCCAGTTTTCACTACTCTCTGATTGTAGTTGATTTCCATAGTTCAGATTTTGAACGATGAAATCTGAATTGTTGCTGGTCAGAGATTGGCTTCCAGAGTCAGATATTTACCTCTAGTCTAGTTGGATATAAGCAGGCCCTGATAGGAGTTGTGATTGTTGTAGTCCATCAAGACAAAGGGATTAGGCCAGTTTCCAGTTCCTCAGTGGGAACCATTCATTCTTTTCTTGTGTACAAGTGTTCAGAAATATTCTCTGTGTACATTGTGTGTATTTATTTATTTATATATATATATATATATATATATACACACACACACACACACACAYACACACACACACACACACACACACACAAGATATTTTCCCCCACAGTAGGAAATTTAAGAGATGGTTACTTTCCTTTGGAGGCACTTTTTTTTTTTTAAACTGCCCCCTCCCATTATTCTAGCTTCTAATCACGTACATGTTTTTAAAAACCTAACAGTTGGTATTCGCTGGGAAGTATACTTCTGTATAGGGGGAAAAAGCCAAATAATAAATTCTTTGCAATTGTAAATATATCTCCAGCCTCTGATTTATATCTACCTAATTTGCTCAGCAAGGTGGAAGAGCTTTAAGGTAGCATTTATAATGGAGCAGTTTATATTTTCTTAGACTATCACTGTTTTAAGTGACTAAGAACTTGACATTAAATAGACACTGTCAGCGTTATATGGCTGAACTTAAAGCTCTTAGAAAGTTTCAACTGCTAGCACTAAGATACTCAAGGTACTCATCCATTTTAGTCCTCCTTTTCTTACCTTATTTTATTTTGTGAAAGAACCATATTTTAGTTATCTGGGTGCACTGCCCGATTAATTTTTTGACTTCTTGTGTTTCCTACACTGTACAAAATGTTGCACAGTGTCTTTTACTTAGTGGAAGATTGAGTCTCAAGCTATATGCATGTACTACCCATAAAATCAGTGTGATTCAATAAGTACATGAAGAAGATACTTCATAAAATATACCCATTTTTACAGAACACTGCAGTAGTCTAATATCGTGATATTTTGTTCTCCATCATTCTTCGTAGGCTGTCGGTCTGGAAAGCATAGGTTTACTCTGCAGTTATGAAGCACCACATTATGGTCTAAGATTGAAACACTAAATAGTGGTGAAGCAGAGATTTTGTAATTTTTAAATAATTTTGAGCTAGTAGCTTTTGTTAAGTATTGTGCAGTACTCAACAAAATACAGTTTTACTTTAAATCATGTATTATGCTATGTATCCTATTCCAAATCTGGCCACTTTATAGTGGAATAAAATAGTGGCTCCTTCACAAGATGCAATTCTATTTCTGTGGAGACCCAGTGCTTGAATGAAGTGGTGAATAACCATTATGGCTGTAGGTTATGATTCTGTGGTTTTCTTTAACCTCTTCTAAACTAGTGAAAGYCTGCCATCTTGTGGCTTTTAGATATATGGGTTTTAGGGCTGGGGATGTGGCTCAAGCGGTAGCGCGCTCGCCTGGCATGCGTGAGGCCTGGGTTCGATCCTCAGCACCACATACAAAGATGTTGTGTCCGCCAAGAACTTAACAAAAAAAAAAAATATGGGTTTTAGTAAAAAGATCTGAGATTTTAGTTATTATGATACCAAAATGTGTAAGAAGTCTTTAAGTTGTATTTTCTTACCATTTGGTTGATTTTTTTTTTTTTTTAAATTCATTTTCTTTTAACATTACAAGACTATTTTAACTTTTCTATTAACTAAAAAATTTCTCTTTTTCAAAAGTCAGTAGTAAAAATAACTTATACATTAGCAATTTTACTTAAGAACAGTTATTGAAAATTTGTTATTAAGACTTCTTATATAACTAATGATAGTTACTTGAATGAGGAAAAAAAATTCTGTCTTTTAAAATAAAATTATTGGACAACTGTATCCAAACGAACTTGTAATTTATAATGTAGAACCCAATTTAATAATAATAAAAACTAACACTAAAGAAAAAAACTCAATTAAAACTTCATTTTGCCTGGCATGGTGGCACATGCCTGTAATCTCAGTGCTCCATAGGAGGCCGAGACAGGAGGATCTCAAACCCAGCCTCACAGACCCTGTCTCTAAATAAAATACAAAATTGGGCTGGGGATGTAGCTCAAGTGGTTGAGTGCCCCTGAATTCAATCCCTGACACCAAGGTCAATCAATCCATCCTAATGTTTTTTTTTTTTTCAATATTTTTTTGTCAGCATTATATGGCTGATTGACCTTTATTTATTCACGTATTTATATGTGTTGCTGAGAATTGAACCCAGTGACTCACACATAGGAGGCAAGTGCTCTACCACTGAGCCACAAAACCTAGCCCTCCATCCTCATTTTTTGGTAGTTAACAATATAAAATAATTTTTCTACAAAATATTAGGAAGGCTTTTATTTGTAGTTAGGGAAATTTCAAATCACTTCATATAAGAAGTGGAAGTTGCTTTTAAGCTTTTGGGGTCAGTTAAATTCTAATGAACATTTACACTCACACACACAGTACACGTGTATCTTAATGTTATATCACCAAGCAAAAAACACAACAAGAGAATTTCTATATAACTGATACATCATTAAGGTATAAAATTGCTTCTTAAAATAACTTACTTCTGACTGGGGGCTGTAGCTAAGTTGTAGAGTACTTGCCTAGCATGCACATGGCCCTGGGTTTGATCCCTAGTAATACCACCAACACCAACAAAACAAAAACACAACCAATACTCACAAAAATAACTTTTCATTCTCAGGTAATTAATCTATTTTTATATCTTGCCTGTCTCATATATCTTGCGTTTGTGTTGTTGTATTTAAAATAAACCTCTTTTTAAAAAAAAAAATCTTTTTTTAATGTGTCTCTTCATAGAAAAAGATGAAATGTGTTCTTATTCAGACAACCAACACTAGTAGTGATGTGACAGTGAAGGAGAATATTGTTATCTACCAAAAACTCTAGATCTAATGCCCCTGAATTGCTTTTCTAATAGGTTTGGGTAGCCCTTATTTAAACTACCTCTTTTATTTTTCCTTTTAGCAGGCAAGGAGAAGGATTCAAAACCAGGGGTATAATTTGATATCTGTGCTTTTTCAAATGTATTACAGTTATGCTAAGAAAGAATCTGATCTGAATGGTGCCCAGATCAAGCTTCGAGAATATGAAGCAGCACTGAATTCTAAAGATGCAGCTCTGGCTACTGCCCTTGGCGACAAAAAAAGTTTAGAGGCAGATTTAGAGGATCTGAAGGATCAGATTGCCCAGGTAAGGTAAACGTTGTGAGCCATGTTTGGAAGGTTAATTACCATGTGTCTTAATCCTTGGTTTGATTGATTTTTTTTTAATATTTATTTTTTAGTTTTAGGTGGACACAACATCCTTATTTGTATGTGGTGCTGAGGGTCGAACCCAGCGCCACGCACATGCCAGGCGAGCGCACTACCGCTTGAGCCAYATCCCCAGCCCTGATTGATTGATTTTTAAAGGCTATATGTTTATTTTGGAATTTTAGTTTTTTGGGGTTTTTTTGGATCAGTTACCTGAAGAAAGTTTTTATGTATCTTAACATGTAAAGCTCCCTGAAGAAAGTTTTTAGATATCTTAACATGTAAAGCTCAATCACCTCTCAGTCATTCTGTGGGGGTTATATAGATCTTGCCATTCTTTCTTGTGTAGATGCTCTCAGAAGCTATTTCACCATTGTACTAAAATGTGAGGTGAGGAAAGAAGATGTTGCAATGCTGTTTCTTGCACACAGGAAAATATCAAAGTGGTTAACTAAAAATCATTGGTTTGATTTTAAAAATAGGAGTGATAGGTCTTTGTTCTGTACTCTATTGGCCATTTTAACAGGTGATCTGTTTGGTACCCTGTAAGTGGGATCAGCAAATGAACCCAAAATTCTGTGGTAAAGGTTAAAATATGGTAATTATATCTTTATAAATGTATAGAAATTGTAATATTTGATTTGATTCATATATGTTAAATTCATTGCTAAATGATTGCTGTGTAATTTTATCACATTTTTTTCCCCCTTGTAATAGTTGGAAGCCTCTTTATCTGCTGCCAAAAAACAGTTAGCAGATGAAACTTTACTTAAAGTGGATTTGGAGAATCGATGTCAGAGCCTTACTGAGGACCTGGAGTTTCGTAAAAACATGTACGAAGAGGTAATTATATATAATTTTACTTTTAAGAAAAAAAAACATGTAAAAGTACAAATTATTTAAATATGATTTATTTCCTACAAGAAATGTGGGAAATCTAATGATGAAGGGATAAGATTTGGGAATAGGAGAAATTTTGCAGGCAAATTGTCCAAGTTGTTGATGCCAGAAAGACTGCATCTGGGCTGGGCGTATAGCTTAGAGCACTTGGCTAGGGTGCAGAAGGTTCTGGGTTGGATCCCTAGTACCTCTATAATAAAAAAAGAAAACAAAAGACTGTATTGAAGAGCATAAGCTGTTAAAGTAAACATATGCTGTCACTTCATCTGAGTTATAAAGGTTTGGTCACAGCTGCTAATTACTGACATGTTAAACATTTGCATTAGTTATCTCTTGCTGCTTAAATAGAGTACTCCAAAATTTAACAATCTAAAACCATGGGCTTAAATGGTGGTTCTGTTGCAGGGTCTCCTGAGGTGCAGTCAAGCTTTCAACCTGGGCTGGAGAAACTGCTTTTCCTAGGCAGGAGGTATCAGTTCCTTGCCACTTGGTCTCTATAGGGCTACTCATGATTATGCCTTTCCCCAAGAATGAGCCATGAGAGGGAGAGTGAGCATGAGACCAAGAGAGAAGCTTCATTATTTCTGTAACCTACTTGCAGCAGTGACAAATGTACCATTTTCACACTGATTAATTGTGAGGAAGGGGATTACATTAGGATGTGAATACCAGGAGGCAGCAATCATGGGGACCCATCTTGAAGTCTAGCTACTCACAACAATTATAGGTACATATGAGAATTTTTAAATATCATTTATAATCCTTAACTTCTGTGTCAAGGGTGGGTAGATGCAACATATGCCAAATAGAGGAAGTAGTAAAATTGAAGAAAGGGAATATATATTTCCTAAAAATTGAAAAAGATTGGGATTAGTAGTGTCATTTTGAAAATAGTAACTATCAAAGACTTAAAAATAGGAATTCATGGACTGGGGATGTGGCTCAAGCGGTAGCGCTCTCGCCTGGCATGCGTGCGGCCTGGGTTCGATCCTCAGCACCACATAAAACAAAGATGTTGTGTCTGCCGAAAACTAAAAAATAAATATTAAAATTCTCTCTCTCTCTCTCTCTAAAAAAAAAATACAAGTGTTTGTTTTTGCAATGTGGAGATTGAACCTAGAACCTTGTGGATGCTAGGCAAGTGCTTTATCACAAAAATCAGATATTATGCGGAGTTGATTTATATTTTTTGTACTTTTAAAATTGTCCTTGATGTATTGCTTGTTTTTTGTTATAATGTCTGGATTGCCAGGAGTAGATTATTTAATTCTTTGTAAGGTCATTGATTCTGCATAAAATTTGAAAAATGGCATCAGTAAAACATAATCTTATATTTTTAGAGAGGGTAGTAGCATTTTTGAATATTTGGGGCTTACCTTTTTGATAATAATTTAAAATATTTCTATTCTTTTTTTTGCACATTGAAGTCACTTCAGTAGATATACCTGATTTCCTTGTTTATGGATAGGTAAGAGGGGAAAAAGGAGGGAGAAAATGGAAGAGTAAGTGAGGTAGACAAAGGGCATACCATTAGTAGGTGTTCACTGTTTGTTGTAGCCTTCATTTGCATGTTTATATAAGTATCATTTGCTAAACAGATGTGAACCCTGGGAGGTTGATAGCAGAACTGGAATATGAACTCTGATTTTCTGATTTTTTTTTTTTTTTTTTTTGCTTGTTTCTGTCAAGTGAATTTTCCTCTTCGGTGGCTAAAAGAAAAGATAATGGCTAAAAGAAAGGATGTACTGGAAAATATAAGCATCAAGCAACTTCAGTGGGTTTTACCTCCCTCTTGTGGCTTTTGTAATTATTGCCACTAAACAAATCTTTTACTTTCATAGTGAGAAACTGGAATGGAAATTTCATTCTTGCCCTTGTGTTCTTAGACAGATTGTTCGTTCCAGTTTTATTTGGTAACTTAAAACAGTGAAGGATCATGATTATTCTACCTGTTCTTTAATAGTGAGTTTATATGTAGTTGAGTTAGTCAAGTACTATTATTAATAAGACCCTATTCTCTATATCACTTGATTAGGAAAAGAAGTCATGTAAATTCTTTGCTCTGCCTATTACTATAATAATTTTATTGCAGATAAAATTTTAACTTGTAGTTGTCTGGACTGATAGTTTTAACTCTCCATATGTATCTTTTTCAAAATAGTTTCACCCTGAAGTGACTGTTGTTTGCTTCATTC